TGTTGGCGTGTGTCCCCTCCCTCTGCGGCCCGCCTCCCCCGTCGCCCGCCGGCGGCCCGCGGTGCCCGGGCCGGAGGGGCTGTGCGGGGGCGCGCGCCGCGGAGCCCGCCTCGTCCGCCCCGTCCCCCGAGGGGAGGGGGCCTGTACATACTGTAACATACAGAGTATAGTGAAGAATCTATTTAAGGCGCCGCGGGGAGGGCTGCACGGCGCGGCGGGAGCCCCCGGCCGGCTCCATGAGCACTTTCTACTTGTGCATGGGCTTGGTTTCTACGAGTTGCCATTAAACATCGCTGCACCAGCCAGCCTCCGGCCTCTGTCTGCGCGGCGCGGGCGGGCGGGGCCTCGGCCGGCGGGGGACGGCGGGCGGGGCGGGCGCGGAGCTTTCCGCCTCCGACGTGTTTCCGGCCTTAAAGGCATTTCGCCCTTCCCTTTAAGACGCACCGCCCCTTCTCAGTCACTCCCAAGATGGCGGACCTACTGGGCTCCATCCTGAGCTCCATGGAGAAGCCACCCAGCCTCGGGGACCAGGAGTCTCGGCGCAAGGCCCGAGGTGAGGACCCCAAATCCACAACCGCCTTTCTTCGCCCGGTTCTCAGGACCGCACTCTTCCCCCTTCGGACGATGCCGCCTCCTCAACCTTGAAAGACCCCCTCACAGGCCCCTACGGAGACCCCCAGAGTCCGTAAAAGGGCTGCCGGCCCGCCCGCTGTTCCTAGCGGCCGGTGATTGGCTGCCTGGAGCCCAGCTCCAGCCTCCCGCCTCTTTCCTACTGGCCTTCCGCAGTCCTTGTTTCCAATTCGCCGGCAGGCCCGCCCGTCCGCTGCTATCGTGCTCTGATTGGCTGGCTGCCTCCACCCTCTTGGTGTTCCTCGCCCCCCGCCGCCGCGCCTGGGCCCGCCTGCCGGTCCGAGGGGGGCGTGTCCAGCTCGCGAGCCCCCACCCTATCCGCATTCCGATTGGCTCCGGGGCACGCCCGTCCGCAAGCCCTTCGCCCCCATTGGCCCGTTCCATTTCGGGTTCTGCCTACGACGTCTGGTCCGACCTTCCTCGGGCCCGCCCCACCCTCGGCGCCTCGGATTGGTGGCCGGGCCCGCTCCGTGCCCTGCGCCCCTCCTACCTGCCTTTGCCGCTCCCTTCCGCGTCCCCGCCGCCCTGCCCTCCTGGGCAGCCGCCCAGTCCCGGCCGCACCGCCGATTAGAGGCTTGGGGGCGCCCCGGCCGTCCGATCGGCGCCGCCTCCCCGCCCGGTTCCCCGAGCGGCCCCCGGCGGGCGGGCTCAGGTCCCTGCACGGGGCCGGGGCGGGCCGGGGCGGCAGGCTGGGGGCCGCGCCCACCGTCCGGGAGCCCGCAGTCTGGGCCGCGCACGGAATGGTCACACCCAAGCTTGACAGCCCCCTGGATACGCCCCCGAAAGGAATCGTCCGGGGTCCAGACCCGCCCTGCCGGGGGCTGACGGCCGGCGGAGGCCCCTTCAGCGAGACGGGAGCCCCTGCCCCTTTGGGCAGACTTGTGTTGGAGACTTCCCGGGAGGGAGGCGGCACGTGGGAACGGTAGCGGCCGAGGCTGGACCAGGAAGCTGAGGTTCAGGGTTCAGTCACTTGCCTGAGGTCACAGGGTTACTAAGTGGCAGGGTTTTAAACCCGCCTGTGACTGGGAAGCTTGCGCTTTTTTTTCTTTCTTTTTGTGTGTGTGTGTGTGTGTGTGGCCTACGTTCTTAACCTTAACCTCACGCCACCTCCCAGATGCGGAGGGGAGATTCACAGACCGGTTAGAGGACATCAGTGGTCAAGATAAGACGCCCTGATGGTAAAGACAGAGGAGAGCCCCCAAGCTGTCCAGCCGGGGTCCGCGGGGAGGAACTGGAGAGGAGGTGAACAGGCTCCCTTGCCTGCTAGCAGCTCCCAGTCTGTAGGGAGACAAATAAGGAGTTACAGTAGCACACGCCGGAGTGAGTCTGGGGACCCCAAGTGCTTGGGCCCCAGGGGAGGCCGTGAGCAGCTCTGACTCACGGTGGGTCTAGGTTTGCAGGAGGAGGAACCACAGGTGGTGCAAAGGCGTGGAGCGGTTAGGGAAACGGGAAGTGGTCCAGTGCAGCTAGCTGGAGGACCCCGGTCAGTGCAAGTGGGCCGGAAGGACGGGGGGATTCCAAGTGGCCTGACGGAGGGGGAGGGGCGCCAAGACCTGAGCTGGGGGAGCACCTGCAGTCCCAAAGGAGCAGGGCGTCGGACCAGTCACTTCAGCGCCCTCCTGTCTGTGGGAGTGAGAAGTGGGGGTGTTACAGAATATAGGAAGTTAAGGGCGCCTGGGCGGCTCAGTCGTCGAGCGTCTGCCTTCGGCTCAGGTCATGATCCCGGGGTCCTGGGGTCGAGCCCCGCATCGGGCTCCCTGCTCCGCGGGGAGTCTGCTGCTCCCTCTCCCACTCCCCCTGCTGGTGTTCCCTCTCTCGCTGTGTCTGTCAAATACATAAATAAAATCTTAAAAAAAAAAAAAAAAAGAATATAGGAAGTTAAGTAATTTCCCCTTTCCTGTGTAGGCAGTGTGACGGTAAGCTCTTGGAGGCCAGGGCTGAATCTGCTCTCAGCTCCCAGCGGTCCCAGGTCCCTGCGTTGTGGGCATGGAGTACATGCTTGGGAATCACGGGGCCAAGCATGGTTCCGCTCCCACTAAAGTGGGAGCTCTTGAAGGGAACGCTCCATCTCAGTGTCTGTGCCACAGGGCCTAGCAGAGTGCCAGGCACACAGTGAGTATGCGCCGATGCTTGGAGAACAGGCACTAATCTGCCCTCCCAGCAGAGGCCTCCCCCAGGGCACGCCAGACTTCGTGTGAAGCCTGACGGACTCTCCCCACCCCTGCCTCCAGCCCCGGCCTCATGCTGCCATTTCTCACCCCCAGAGCAGGCTGCCCGCCTGAAGAAACTGCAGGAGCAGGAGAAACAACAGAAAGTGGAGTTTCGTAAAAGGGTGAGCCCCCTGGAGATAGCAGAGGCAGCCTCAGGAAGGACTTCCAAGAAGTTAGAGTTGGAAGGTTGAGGACTCAGGTTTTCCCCAATGTCTCCAGTGAGAAGCCTGGAGGCCAGTGGCATGGAGGCTGGGGAAGGTGTGGGGGGCAAGGCCCACTGACCCAGCTCGGGAGAGGGGTTCTGGGGTGGAGCAGTCACCACATGTCTTCCTCTTCTGTCTCCCAAGATGGAGAAAGAGGTGTCAGATTTCATCCAAGACAGTGGGCAGATCAAGAAAAAGTTTCAGCCGATGAACAAGATAGAGAGGAGCATCCTGTGAGTGTCCCTACTCTGGGCTAGGGGAGAGGCGAACGGGCCAGCGGGGGACCCCTAAGAAGGGGGTGCTGGGCCCCTGGTGGCCCTACATACTCTCCCCTCCGGCCTCCCTACCCAGACACGATGTGGTGGAAGTGGCCGGCCTGACGTCCTTCTCCTTTGGGGAAGATGATGAGTGTCGCTACGTCATGATCTTCAAAAAGGTGAAAGGCCCAAGCCCCCCGCCCGCCTCTCTCCTTTTCAGCCTGCGCCCGCCCCGGGGGAGAGGCCTGCGTGAAGCCCGTGTGTGGAGCCTCGACCCCATGGTTCCTCTGTCCCCAGGAGTTTGCGCCCTCCGATGAAGAGCTGGACTCCTACCGTCGCGGTGAGGAGTGGGACCCCCAAAAGGCCGAGGAGAAACGGAAGCTGAAGGTGAGCTCCGCCCGGCAGCCCACCCCCGGGAGGGGTTGGGGACAGGCCCCCGAGCGCTGGTGCCCGGCCTCTGCGCCCCTAGGAGCTGGCCCAGCGGCAGGAGGAGGCGGCGGCCCAGCAGGGCCCCGCGGTGGTGAGCCCCGCCAGCGACTACAAGGACAAGTACAGCCACCTCATTGGCAAGGGCGCGGCCAAGGACGCGGCCCACATGCTGCAGGCCAACAAGACCTACGGCTGTGGTGAGGCCCCGTGGGGGGGGCGGGGGGAGGCTGTGATGCAGGGCTCCCAGGCCCTGCCCACACTCCTCTCCCACTCCCACCCCCCAGTGCCCGTGGCCAACAAGAGGGACACTCGCTCCATCGAAGAGGCCATGAACGAGATCCGGGCCAAGAAGCGCCTGCGGCAGAGCGGGGAAGAGTTACCGCCTACCTCGTAGGCACCGCGGCTCCCCAGGGCAGGGCGGGGGGCGGGGGGAACAGGCTGCTGCTAGAACCCACCCTGGAGCCCCACCTCCGCACCACCTCCCGCCGGCCTCACTCAGGCCGGGGGGCCGGTGGTGGCCGCATCACTGCTGGAGCCTGGCTGTGTGTGTGCGTGTGTGTGCGTGTGTGCGAATGCGCAGGTGGGTATTTAACGTGTATTATTCTCCTTTCTCCTTGGAATTTCCTTCCCCGTGGGCTGGGATGACTTTGCATTCAATAAACACTGTTGACCCAACGTCCCGCTTTGTTTGGACAGAGAAAGGTGGGTCCCGCGGAGGAAGAGAATTTTAGGTCGAACCGTCTACAATGGTTGTGCCGGCCAAGGATGGCCAAATACTGGCACTTTCCTGAGGTTTGTAGGAGATAGCATTTAAAGAGCACACTCGCTAGAGACAAACGGCCCGGCTTTGGCTCCTGGCTCCGCCGGTAAGGGAGACTTTCTCTGCCTTCGTTTCCCCACACATAAAATGGGGAGAAAACGGTCACTCTCTGATGGCGCTGGTTCACCGAGGGCACAGGTTGATACGTCAAGCGTCCGCAAGGGTTCCAGATCCTGAAAGCTCCGTGAGCACTGGGACTCTGACCCGCGGTGCGCCCCGTGGTTAGATGGGATAGATCTGAGGGAGCCTCCCCTCATGGGGCGCTCAGACCCCTGCCCCCACCCCCCGGCTCCCCCTCAGCCTCCGTCCGAAGTGTGAACCCGTCCCTCCCCTTCCCTCCGTGTCCCGGCAGGTCACCCGAGTGTTCCTCCCTTCCTGCCCCCCCCTCTCCACCTCCCGTCTTGCCCGGAGACCGGCACCCCCTCCGTCCCACCAAGGAGCACACCACCCGTCTTGCTTGCCACCAGTGTTTATTCCCCCGGGGAAGGGCCTGAAGGCCTAGATGGGTCCTGTGGGGTCTTGGGGCCTGCAGCTTCTCATTTGGCCTTCGGGTTACGGAACTTGCGTCCCGCAAAGACAGCCTTGTCCCCAAGCGCCTCCTCGATCCTAGAAGGCAGGCAAAGTCAGAGCGCCCTTCAACCCAACAGCCCGGGGCTCCCCTCGTCCGGGCCCATGCAGCCCCTGTACCTCATGAGCTGGTTGTACTTGGCCAGACGCTCTGAGCGGCAAGGAGCACCAGTCTTGATCTGAGGAGGAAAGGAGAGTTCCCAGGGCTGCGTGAGGCTGGAGGTGGGAGCGGCCTGTGCTGGCAGGAATCCAGGGACCCCAAGGAGACCCGTGAGTACCTGGCCCGTGCAGAGCCCCACAACGAGGTCGGCGATGAACGTGTCCTCAGTCTCCCCGGAGCGGTGGCTCACCATCACCCCCCAGCCGTTAGACTGAGCCAGTTTGCAACTGGGCAGAGAGGACACTCAGTATAAGGTGGACCAGGGCCTCCGAGGGAAAGCCAAGGGCTGGGCGGGGCTTTTCCCTTCGGTTTGGGGGAGTGGGCTCTTTGCGGGGAGGGAAATGACGAAGTTCTTTGGCAAGCAGGAGAGGAGGGGAGACTTGATTCTGAACGTGGGCTCCTGAGATGCTGGTGGGAAGGAAGGGCAGAACCAGGGAGAGAGGAACCGCGTGGGCTGGGCGTGGGGCACGGCAGGGTCACCAGGGCAGAGCACTGGGGTCAGGAGGGGGGGGGACGGGGCAGGAGCCAGGGCACGTCAGACGTGGCCGACCGGGCAGAGCTGGGGCAGGGGGGAGGCTGCGGCCGCCCCGGGGCCAGGAGGCACTCACGCCTGGATGGACTCGGTCACTGAGCCAATCTGGTTGACCTTCAGCAGCAAGCAGTTGCAGGCCTTCTTCTCAACGGCCTGGGCAATCCTCTTGGGGTTGGTGACGGTGAGGTCATCCCCCACGATCTGGATGTTCACCCCCGAGAGGAATGAGGTCCAGGTGGCCCAGTCATCCTGGTCAAAGGGGTCCTCGATGGAGACCACTGGAGGGGGTGAGGCAGGAGCCCGGGTAAAGGTCAGAGGGGCCTCACGGGGCGACAGGCCGGAAGAATCGGGGTGGGGATTTCCACGGGGCTAAGGACCGCGAGGGCCGCGGCGGCGGCAGTCACCGTGTTGGGCCGCCGCCGCCGCCGGGGTCTCGGACAGGAGCGACGGAGCAGCTGGGGGTCTCACCAGGGTAGTTCTTGATGAAGTTCTTATACAGGTCCCCCAGCTTCTCCCCAGTGATGTGCCGCGCGGGGTCATCCGGGGACTTGAAGTCGAGGTCGTACTTCCCGTTGCGATAGAACTCGGACGCCGCCACGTCCATGCCAATGACCACCTTGTCGGGGTAGCCGGCCGCCTGGATGGCGGTCTTCAGCAGCTCCAGGGCTGGGGGAGGGGCGACAGGGCACCTGAGGCTCCAGGGCGCGTGGTCTCTGCAGCCCGTCCTCCACAGGGACGCGGGGGGCCCTGGCCCTCAGAGCGCTCACACTGACCCTCATTGTTCTCCAGGATGTTGGGTGCAAAGCCACCCTCGTCACCCACGTTGGTGGCATCCTTCCCGTACTTGGCCTTGATGACCCCCTTGAGGTGGTGGTAGACCTCAGCGCCGATGCGCATAGCTTCCTTGAAGGAGCTGGCTCCCACGGGCAGGATCATAAACTCCTGCATGGCCAGCTTGTTTCCAGCATGGGAGCCCCCATTGATCACGTTGAAGGCCTGGTGAGGGGGAGCGGGGGGCGGCTCAGACCCCGCCGGCCGGGACGGTCCGGGCGGAACCCTGCCTCCCCGAATTACCAGCCGAGAGTCTAGAGGGAGTCCTGTTCCTCCTCAGACCCTCTTGTCTCATTTCTGTAAGTCGGGGATACCACCCGCTTTCCCGTGGGATCTTACGCTGAAAGTCAGACAAACGGACTGAAAATCAGGCCCGCGTGTGCCTGACCTGCGAGAGCTAAGCGGACGGCACTCACGGCAGGCCAGGTGCTGCCTAGGAGCCTTCCGTGGGGTCTCCGAGCTCCCTCCCTGCCCCCAGCACCCCTGTTAGCCCGGGCCTGTTACCACCCCCACTTCACAGACAAGGAAACGGGGGGCAGAGAGCGGATGTGCAGACGCGCCTAAGATCACACCCTAGCAGACAGGCAGGCCAGCTGTCCCCCGAGCTCCCGCGTGAACACAGTCCGCGCAGTTAGAGAGCAGGAAGGGGTCACGTTACTACTGACACGCGACAGGGGCTTGGGTCTGATGAGGATTCGAGGAGATACAAAGCGAGGCCAGACCCTCGCCACGAAGCAGCTCCCGATCTGACTCGGGGACTGGGACACCGGGCAGAGCGAGCCGCCGGAGTCAGCACTGGGCCTAGCGCCGGAACGGGAAGGAGCGCGGGGTTACGCCAAGGGGAAGCAGCAGGGAAGCTTGGATTTGGATTGTGGGAAAGAGGGAGGGGCCGGCCGTAGCTGGAGAAGTTCCATTTCAGGAAACCGTGTCTTTGGAGCTGGGTCTGGAAGGTAGACTTTCCAGGGGCCGCTCCTGCCCGGCTCACTGGGTGGGGCGGCTTGGTCACTGTGGCATGGGACAAGGGCGGCTGCACTCACAGGGACCGGGAGGACCAAGTCCGGGTTCCCGGCGAGGTCTGCGATGTGCCGGTAGAGCGGGACCCCCTTCTCTGCTGCGCCAGCCTTGCACACGGCCAGGGAGACGCCCAGGATGGCATTGGCCCCAAACTTGGCTAGAGGAGGCAAGCACAAAGAAAGGGTGAGGGCTTCTCCTGCAGGGCTTGGGGTCACCCCAGGAAAAGCATCCGGAACGCCAGACCACTGGGCATGAAGGGTGTGCTCACGAGAGTCTCCCCCAGGAGCCCCCGCCCCAGGGGAATGTGTCAGCTTCAAGTCTGTGTCCACGGCCCGGCCAGGCCTGGTGCAGGGCAGGCACCAGGAAATGCCTGTGCAATGAGTACAAACCCAGCCAGCCACGGTATGCCCCAAACTGTGGGACACAGAAGTAATCCTAACCAGAGCTCCGACCCGGGGTCCCTGCCCCTAGCCTTGCACTCACACTTGTTCTCAGTCCCATCCAGCTCGATCATAAACTTGTCAACTTTTTCTTGATCCACGACGCTTAGTTTCTGGAAGGAGAGGTTGGGGGTGTGGGGGGGGCGGAGAGCAGAGGTCACATTTCTCAGGAGTCAGGGCATGTGAGAGAGGAAGTGCAGGTATCTGGGGGAGACAGGCTGGCGGGCCAAGCAAGGCCTCTCCCAGGAGTGAGCTGCTGGGGGGGAGGCGGCAAAGGACACGGGGGCAGGGAGCAAGCTCCCGCTTGCCTTTTCCAGCAGAGCGGGGCCTAGGGTCTTGTTGATGTGTTCCACGGCCTTCAGGACACCTAGAGAAGCCGGGGGCGGGGGGGTGTTTCAAAACTGATTTAATCAGGCTGCTTAAGAGCGTTGGGTTCCAGTCCTCTACACCCCACGAGGCTGCTGAGGGCCCAGGTCCTGACCGCCCCCCACACACAGGCTCGTCCGGCCACCGTCTTCCCTCACCTTTCCCCAGGTAGCGGGATTTGTCTCCATCTCTCAGTTCCAGGGCCTCATAGATACCCGTGGAAGCTCCGCTGGGCACAGCTGCTCGGAATCGGCCTGGGTGGGTTGAAAGGGAACGTCACACAGAGTCCCCTGAACCCCCAAAGGTCCGAAGTATGCTGAGCCCAGGGCCAGGGGCCAGTGCAGAGGGAGACTCCTGCTTCTCTGGACCAGGGAGCCAGGATGGAAGGGAAGAGCTCTGGGGAAGGGGATGCCCAAGAAAGGAGAACATGTGGGGCAGAGCTGGGGGGGAGGGGGCAGGGACCCACGGGGCTGGGGTCCTCCCAGGCGAGGCCACTCCAGGAGCCTGTGTTACCCTTGGCCGTATGCAGGTCCACCTCTACTGTGGGGTTGCCCCTGGAGTCCAGGATTTCCCGGGCAAAGATCTTCTGCATGGCCATGGCTGCAAGGCAGGAGGTGTGACCAAGTGTGGACAGCTGATCCCTGAAGGAACCCGAAATCCCTTGCCCTTTAAGAGTCTTCCCCACCCCAAGAAGGCAGGTGCGGGAGCTAAAAATATCCCACAAAAAGGTCACAGACCAAAGAGGCTGGCGCAGCCCCCTCCCCCACTCAGAACAGCTCCTCTCGCACCCCTAAGGATCCAGGCGCCTCTCCTTTAACTGCACCCTCTGCACAGCTCCCTGCCCCCCCATGGCCCGCAGAGCTGCCCTGAGGCCCTCTCCCTCGTCCTTCTGCTTGCTGGCCCTCAGACCCTCTCCTGCTGGTTCTCCCCTTCCTGCTCCTCCGTCTCCTCCAAATCCGTGGGGACCCCAAATTCCCCACCTGGCTGCAACTCTCACTCCCCTTCTCCAGCCACCTCTGCCTGCCTGCCTTCACGGTCTGGTTCTCTGCCCTGGGTACCCCCCCATCCTGCTTGCTTCAACCCTTCCGCGTCTTTCTCAAGCACCCCCCAGTCCCGGGAGGAAGAAAAGGCTGAGAGCTCCCCCCACTTTGTCCAAACCAACACCACCCTGACCCTTCACCCCTTCACCCCTTCACCACCCCCATCCCCTGCGACCGGAGGGCTCACCAGACCTGGGGCGTCTTCGCTAGGGGGTCGGGGTGAGCTCCGAGTCTAGGTGGCAGCTGGGACAGTGTCAGCTCACCCCCTCTCAGGCTGGGCATTTATCCCCTAGCCACCCTGTGCCCCAGCCAGCCCCGCCTCTCCCCCTCTCTCCATCCTCCCCCTCCACCCTGGGCTGGCAGCCAAGTGCCCACTACAGCCGAAAGCAGCAACCTTTGGCCCTGGGCACCTGCTCCCTTCCCAAAGGTCAACGACTACCCCTCCTTCCTCTCTGTCCCCCAATAAAAGCCCCTACTTTTAATTCCAGCTCTGGGGAGGGGCAGGGGAGGGCCTTCAGATCGGGGGTCTCTCCCTTCGCCAGGATTATATTGCCCTTTGGCAAAGGTTAAAGAGGGACTAGTGCCCTTCAGCAAAGGCCAGGGGTAACCTGAGCCCTGCAGGGCTGGGGAGGGGGCCTGGAAGAGGGGCTGCAGGATTGACATCCACACATGCTCAGCTCACTTGGCAGGCGCCCGGCTGCCTCTGCCCTCAGTCGGGAGGCGGGGCCGGGGTCCCGGGCAAGCTCTGAGGTCTCAAATGGAATCCCCCACTCGGAAGGCGAGAGGGTCTCACCCCTCAGGGTCCTCATGGCCGCCCTTCTGGGCCCCTCCCCCCACCCTCCCCGCCCCGGGCCAGCAACGGGGTGGGGGAGGGGGCAGGGAGCCGAATTTAGACGGGCCCTCAGACTTGGCGCGGCTCCCCACTGATTGCGCCGGGCCAGCACTTGTCGCCCAGGGTGCAGATCGGCAGCCGGGAGTCCTTCCCGGCCGACCGCGGGCGCCTCGGGCCGCGGCCCCAGCCCACCAGTGAATGAGGTTCCTCAGCAGGGCGCAAAACGAATGGCGGGAGGAGGGGTGGCCCCCGCGCGCGTCTGGGCGCGGCGGGGCGGCTCTGGGGGGGCCGCGCCCGGACCTCCGCCGCAGCCCCAGCCCGGACACGCGGGCACCTGGAGGCTCGTCCTCTCCCCCGCCCGGTCCCCGGCTCCGGCCGCGCCCTCCCGGACTCTTCCACCCCGGGGTCGGGGGTGCGGCGGGCCAGAGGTCAGGAGCCGGCGGGCCGGGAGCGCCGCCACGTGCCCGAGCACGGCCCCGCCCGGGCGGCCCGGTGACTCAGCTGCGCGGCTGTCGAGGAACGGGCTCGGGGGGCGTCAGGGGCTGGGGGCGGCCGCCCCGCACCGCGCCCCGATGGCCGGCGGGGCGCCCCTCCCCCAGGACCGGAAGCGGCCCAGCCCCCCGCGGCGGCCCGTTCACCTGGGCCGCCGCGGGGACCCCGGCCGCCCCTTCCCGCCGGGCGGCGGGCGAGCGCGGCGCGCACGACTTCTTAGCCTAAGTTTTACCGAAAAGAAGAAGAAAGAACCCGAGGGGCCTGAGCAGGAGGGGACGTTCCCCTTCTTGGAAAAGTTGCAAAGCTTGCAACCCCTCGGTATTCTTCCGCCCGGAAAAGTAGTCCTGCCCCTGTCTCCCGCGCCCAGTGACCTCTGCCGCGCCGGGCCAAGGGGCACGGCCGGTGACCTGAACTGCTGGCGGGGTGTGTGTATTGGTGGTGGTGGGGGTGGGGAGGCCGGGTGGGCCCGGGACGTGGGCGCGGAGGCCTGCCTGGGGGCTGGAGCTGACCCAGCTTGTGCCCCTCGGGCAGATCCTGGGGACACTCGTGTCCCCCCGGTGGGCGCCTTCAACTCTGAAGACAGCCGGGGTATTCAGCCACCTCCCCCTGGGCTCCCGCATTTCTCGACTGAATAGAACCGAGCGGGAGCCGCGGGCCCGCGCGGGCCCGCGCGCGCCGCGCCCCCGCCCCTTCCGCCCGGCGGGAGACACGTCCCCGGCCCGCCCGCCTGCGCGGGGGGTCCCGCCGCGCGCGCCCCTGCGCCCGCGCAGCGGGCCGCCAGCCCTAACC